AATAATAATCAATGAATTCTATACAAGTGTCTAACTAGTATTGGCTAAAAGAATAACAAAATAACTACCTAAGGAATCCTATATAACAAACTCACGTGGGAATAGAAGGATCCAGAATGGGATCCAATATTTTAACTCTATCTAATTGATCTGTATAAATTGAGCAGATGGCCCAAGTGTCTGATTTGTCTGAGGCCCAAATGTTGAATTAAACATTGAATGTATCAAAGGCCCAGGTGCTGAATCAATCAGCTTTGAATATATCAAACCTTTACCTTTTTCTTCTTCTCCATTAAGGTCTTCTTCATCTGCTCCATTAATACCAGAGTTAACATGGACAATATAAAGATGGGGCCCAACATCGGGTAAATAATGAGATGGGCCTGGCTCTGATATGTGATAAATAGACGTTGGGCCTAACTCAACTCCAAAAACTAGCTCATGACGCGAAGATTGTTGAAGACTATATAAGGAATCCAAGTTACCCGTTTTGAGCCGTTGTGGGACTCAACATAGTCTGTGTCTGTTGACGATTTTGAATTTTAGAGACATTCCATATTAATGCAATTAAATGACAGAAACAAAATTGAGGTTAACTTGCTGAAAGTGTCATTCTTTAATGTACGAGTTTTTGACCTTCCGGCTCTTTGTGTTTTCTAAGCAATTCACACATAGTTCAGTTATGTGATTTTACTGTTATAGTGGAAAAAGTTCAGTTATAATTTGACAAAGATTAACTTTACTGTTATAGTGATAAAATTATAGTGATAAAATTCAGTGCCGACACATGAAATTGACATAAAGTAGATGTTACTACTGAAGTTTGGCATGCATTTCAGGAACTGCAAGTTGGGTGGAGAGTAATTGTTGGTTCGATAATTGGATTCTTCGCTGCTGCTTTAGGAGTGCAGGAGGAGTAGGGGGAGGTGGTATCTTTGTTCCCATGCTTACTTTGATCATTGGATTTGATCCAAAGACATCAACTGCAATATCGAAATGTAAGAATCCGTTTATTATCTCCAATGTTCATAATTACCATGCTGCTCTTGTATTTGAGGAGATCTGTTACTAAACTTAATTTAAGGTGAGAAGCTTCTTGATAGATATCACTAAATGTTAGATGATTTTAGAATCAATATAGTGCTGATTCGTTTGTGTGTTATTCAAGTTTTACTAGAGCCACGAGCTACTTGTGAATCAATGCTCTGCTGATTCTTTGAGCATTTTGTTTTCTTGTAAGGTATGATCACAGGTGCAGCGGGTGCAACTGTCTTCTATAACCTAAAGCTGCGACATCCAAGAATGGACATGCCCATTATTGATTACAATCTAGCTCTTCTTTTCCAACCAATGTTGTTGCTGGGTATCAGTATCGGAGTTGTTCTCAACGTACTTTTTGCAGAGTGGATGGTTACAGTCTTATTGATCATCCTTTTCATAGGTAACGCAGGGTTTACAGCTTCATTCTTACCCATGTCATCAAGATAATTATTCTGATTGGTTATGGTACTTGCAGCGGCATCAACTAAGGCATTTTCCAAGGGTGTTGAGACTTGGAAAAAGAAACGATGTTATCTCTTATTCTATCCTGTGATTTGTAGAGTATAATAGAAGATTGAGTCTCTGAGATACATTGTTCACATATCTATTTTGACATCCAGGAAGTTGCTGGACGCTTGGCATCTGGCGGTCAGTTGCTTCATTAGCTGCTCTATCTTCTAGAATATCAGCAGCGGTATTTGACCAGTTAGTTTCCTGTGATATTATGAACTGGAATCAGGTGCTGGTGATGAAGAAGTAGCATACAAACTTCTACCTGAGGGTCCAAATAAAGGTTCTAGAGTTGAAAAAGAAGTTTATAAGGCAACAGAGGTGATTACCCTGTGGCCCAATTTACTTTACTTCCCTTTTCTGTCTGGTCCAATTTACTTCTCCACCTACATAAAAAAATCCTGCAATAAAAATAATTTTCAGCTTTGTATTATACTTTGAAATGAAGTCCTACATTCCACGCCACTTATACAATATCACCTGCATAATAAAACTTTAATTTGAAGGGTTCAATGATATATGGTGTAAACCCAGTCATTTTAAGATCTAATCCTATCTCCGTTGTCCCAAGCTGCCAACTTCATTATTCTCCAATGGAAAAAACTAAATGTAACTTCAGTTTTTAATCTCTTTAGTAGTCAATTGGGGTCTGCTAAAGTGGGACAAGGGAGCGTAGAGTGATTGTTTTTTGATAAGATGTCCTCTTGTGCTAATTTGTTGAGCTTTTCCAGGTGCCAATTGTTGACAATGTATACTGGAAGGATATCACCGCACTTATTGGTGTCTGGATCGTTATCCTGGTTCTGCATATATCCAAGGTTCTTACATTTATCTCTTTGCCTTTTTCCAAGGGCGTTACACATTTAGGATTGCCTTTTATGCTGTCCTGCATTTATTAGCGCATTGATGGAAAGCTATCATTTTTTGTACAGAATTATTCATCAACTTGTACCGTGGCATACTGGAGCTTAAACTTCTTACAGGTATGTGTTGCTATTGCAATGCTAACTGGTCTGTGTGTGTATTCTCCGCTGCTTCTCAAAGACATGTAATCCCTTCTATACCTTATTTAGTAGCAAAACTTCTTAAAATTGTTCTTTTTCTACAGAACTAATGTGGATTGTACCTCCATATCTAGGCTTATATTGGTATTGATATTTGTGGCATGCTCCTGAGTTGTGGCTATGTTGAATGACCTATAACCTTCTCTTCTCCGATGAATAGAGAAGTTTGACTAAGATGATGCCGATGTTTCAGGTTCCTGTTGCTGTAAGAGCTTCTGTATATCAAGCAGTTTGCCTGTACAAGGGATCAAGGGTGATCATGTCAAGCAGAGATGCCGTAATAGTTTGGAAAGTGCATCACTTAATTCTTTGCTGTTGCTGTTGCTGTTGCTGTGGCATTTTGGCTGGTATAGTTGGCGGACTGCTTGGTCTTGGTGGAGGATTAATTTTAGGACCTTTGCTTCTAGAGCTAGGCATTCCTCCCCATCTCATTTTCCATTTTGGTAATTTGGCTTTCTGTTGCCAATGATATAAAAAGCTGATTACATGATATTGGTAAATGCAGGTATCAAGTGCCACTACAACCTTTGTTATGGCATTTTCCTCCTCTATGTCCGTCATACAATATTACCTGCTAAGACGCTGGGATTATAGGTGGGGAGTGCTGACCATCTAAGCAACCCCCTCTTGTTATGACATTTTCCTCCTCCATGTCTGTCCATCATTCAAAGCTTCTTATGAAACTGTTTATTGATTTTTGGTTTCTCTTTTGCAGCCCTGTATTTTGTTGCTATAACCACTATCCCCGCCTTTGTAGGACAGAATGTTGTAAGGAAAATAATTAGCATTGTGGGCAGAGCATCTGTCATTATCTTTGTATTGGCCTTCACAATCTTTGTGAGCGCCCTCTCATTAGGCAAGTATTACTCACTCTGTTAATATGGTTCACATTGTATTTTTTTTTTTTTTTTACCAGCAGAGCTTCTGTTACTAAGTTTCTTTATTTGTGTAGGTGGTGTTGGCATATTAGACACTATTAAAAAAGTCGAGGAAGGGCAGCATATAGGATTCGACAACATCTGTGCATACAATTCTTAAGCAAAATTACTATCAGATCTCAAGTTTAGGTCAATTTGTATATTGTTTCTCTTGGTGATAAATATTAGACAGCCTATTGTTTTGGTTTATAACTTGATTTTCTCATGGAATTTATCAAATGATTTCATTGAGATACCTTCTGTCATAAAATATTTCAGTGAAAATGTCTATATATATTCCCTCATGGTATGAGTAAATAGTTTTTTAATGCTAAAAAATGCTCAACCTTGCCAAGTGGATTGAGTGCGTTGAACTTGAAAGGAATGATGAAATTGAAAAGAAAATAAATGCGAGGAAGATAAGAAAAGTTGGGGTATGCAATCATCTTATAAAATTGTTAAATGAAAGAGTTTGCTGTAGCAACTAATTTAGTATCTTAGCGCAGCTAATTGATTAACGCGGTTAAAAAATCAGGATATTTAAGTTTACCGAAAAGGGCCAAATATATTTATGTACTATCAAAAAAGTTCAAATGTACCCCTTATTATACTTTGAATCTAAATATACCCCTATCATTATACTATTGGTTCAAATATATCCCTTTTCTGTTAAGTTTATCCAAAGTGGATATCCAATCCTATGTGGCACTCACATTTGCTGAGGTGGATGTCACGTGGCTTGCCAGCTCAGCACCACTAACCCATTTTACCCCTCCCTTCTATTTTTTTTTTCACCACTAAAATTTCCTTCTCATCCACCACTATTGCCACCATTACCGCTACCATGAAAAATATTATATTTCAAATTTTAGTCTTTTATATATGCATTAAGGGCACCGAGATGGCATGTCATGTGACATTCACCTCATCAAATATCATTGCCACGTAGGATTGGATGTCCACCTTGGACAAACTAATAGAAAAGGGGTATATTTGAACCAATAGTATTATGATATGGGTATATTTAGACCCAATGTATAACGATGGACATATTTAAAATAATACAGGGGTATATTTGGCCCTTTGCTGTTAAGTTTATAACAATGTGTAGATTTTTTACACTATCACGTTAAGTAACTATATGTAACTCTAACGAAAAAAAAGGATAATAACGTGCTACAAAATTAACTTAACCTATAACTATATGTAACTCTTTATAAAAAAATAGGATAATAACGTGCTACAAAATTATGGTTCGAGTCGAGTTTTTGGTATCTTCCTATCAACTAGAACTTTTTCAACTAGAATAACTTCATGCTTGGACACGTTTGAACTTATCTTGAACACCTTTTAACTAAGTTGTGTGGCCCGACTTGTTAAAGCAAAATTGAGCCATTAATTGTCCTATGGAAGCCAATAAGAAGCAAGCATATAATGCAATTCCATAATTAGTCAAACCAGAGGTGACATCTTATCTCCATCATTCTCAAACATTCTCAAAAACATGCACCCCACGTTGTTCCAACCATTCACTAAACTAAGAATTAACACCAAAAGTTTCTTTCATTCTACATCAAGCAAAAACACTTTGCCTCCACCTCTTCTCCCTTTCTCTGCATCAACTTTTCCTTCATTGTCAGTTTGTCACCTCACCTCTAACCCCATATCTTTTTCTTGGTTAATGGTCATAAGTTTCAGTTCTTAATTGAGATTATACATTTTGTTTGAATCAAGAAAAATATTGGTTCGAGCACTCTACGTAGATAATGAGATCTACAGTTGTTGCCCTGTCATGTTTTAATGGAATGTTGTGGAATTGAAAGACAGACAAACGTGAAGCATGATTCTTGAAACGAAAAACAATTCAATGGCTGGGGGCAGGGCGCTTAAATGTAATGAGACTTTCAAGTCACGATTGGCCAATGATTCAGGTGTCGCGTCTAGCCCTCGCGCCCAACAGAACCAGCCTTCAGGTAAATCATTTCCCTTCTTTTTGATTCCTGATTTTGTTCATTCTACATGAAACACAAATATGAAAAACTTGGATAATTGTTAAAGCTCCTCAGGTCATTGACAATTGCTAATTTTCAAAGGAATTTGTATTTCTAACCACTCCTTCCTCTCTGTCTTCCTTTATGGCCTTAAGTTATGGACAAAACCTGGTGAAATGTTTGAGAGCCTCAACATTTTAACATGTCTGTAACATTTAATACGATCTGCCAAAAGCAAACAAAATGTTCCATTTCTCCTTTAGGGGTCATTTGGTTGGGAAACAAGTTATCCCGTGATTGTTATCCCACCCTCCCATAGGAATAAAATAACACTACAATATTAATTATCCCTTTATCCCTCGTACCAAACGAGCCCTTAGGGGTTTGTCCATGTTATATGCTTTTACCACATTGTTGACACACGAACTCGTTGGCTTCTGTTTAGATATGGAGCTAATGAAGGAAAAGTTTGCAAAGTTGCTCCTTGGTGAGGATATGTCTGGTGGAGGAAAGGGTGTCTCTTCTGCGCTGGCTTTGTCAAATTCAATCACAAACCTAGCAGGTAATCTTTTTTGTGAATTTCAAAAAAGCAGAGAAAAAAGTTTCAACCATTTCTTATCAATGTCTGGTATGTTAATTTTGAGAGAGATTATATGAAGGTTTCTTGTATATAACTATTCTTTTTTTCTATTTTGTCTTTCTTTTCACATAATGCAGCTTCCGTTTTTGGAGAACTGAAGAGATTAGAGCCAATGCCAGCCGAGACAAAAGCCAAATGGAGAAAAGAAATTGGTTGGCTTTTATCAGTCACAGATCACATTGTTGAATTTGTTCCTTGTAATCAAAAATCAAAAGATGGAACAAACATGGAGGTATACCTCTCTCGCTCGAACTCTTTGTTGTATATTCCATATATCTTCCTAACAACAACAAGAGTCATACATTCATTTATTTATCAGGTTATGATAACAAAGCAGCGATCCGATCTTCAAATGAACATTCCAGCACTACGCAAGCTAGATGCAATGCTTGTTGTAAGAAATATGAAGTTCTTTTGTTTTCATTTTCCTTATGTCATTGTAGAATTGTTTCCTCATTGATGTTTATGTCTTGTTTAATAATCAACAGGATTGCTTAGATAGCTTTAAGGATCAAAGTGAGTTTTCCTATGTATCGAAAGATGATCAATCAGAGGATGGAAAAAACAGCAGGAATGATGACAAATGGTGGATACCGACTCCTAAGGTTCCTCCTAACGGCTTATCTGATCCTATGAGGAAATGGCTGCAATTTCAGAAGGATTCAGTAAACCAAGTTCATAAAGCAGCCATGGCTATAAATGCTCAAGTCCTGTCAGAAATGGAGATCCCAGAAAGTTATATAGAATCCCTACCCAAGGTACAAGAAAGGAAATAGATCCTGAATCTCACTCATTTTAAGGTTTTTTTTTTCATTTTTAGCCCCGCGGCCTAAAATAATTACAAGCGGTAGCCCAAGTAAACAAAACACATATGTATATTATTGAGTCGAGGGTCTACTGGAAATAGCCTCTCCGACTTCTTAAAGGTAGGGGTAAGGTCTGCGTACACACTACCCTTCCCAGACTCCACTTGTAGGATTACACTGGGTTTGTTGTTGTTGTTGTTGTTGTTGTTGTTGTTGTTGATTATGTATATTATATGTATATTTATACTTAATATACAAAACATATACATTTGCCGGCTATTATTTTTTTGGGCGGCCCAAAAATATAATAATCCTTTTTTAAACTTACTTCAAGCTAACATTTCTTCTTTTACTGTGTTTAGAAAGGGAGAGCAAGCCTAGGAGATTCGATATACAAAAGCATCACTGATGAGTACTTTGATCCGGATTACTTCTTCACAACTATGGACTTGTCTTCAGAACATAAAATTGTAGACCTAAAGAACAGGATCGAGGCTTCTGTAGTTATTTGGAGAAGAAAAATGAACGCTAAAGATGGGAAATCAACCTGGGGTTCAGCTGTTAGTTTTGAGAAGAGAGAAATCTTTGAAGAAAGAGCTGAGCTTGTCCTGCTGATTCTTAAGCAGCGCTTCCCTGGAATTCCTCAGTCAACACTTGACATTAGTAAAATCCAATACAACAGAGTACGAAGCTGCATGTTGCAACATTTACTTTCAAGTTTTCATATTCAAGAGAACCTAGATTTTTTGAGATTATCCATATTCTATTCGTTGTTCCTCGACTTGTTTCATAGTTTCTATTTTGGCCACGCATGGCTAAACAAAAAACTTCAATATTATAGAGGATCTAGTTCTTGGACTTTTACATAATAATGGAATTTTTTTCTTGATTTTGCAGGATTTGGGGCAAGCTGTTTTAGAAAGTTATTCAAGAATAATAGAAAGCAGGGCATTCACAATCATGTCGCGAATTGAAGATGTTCTCCAAGCAGATGCGAGGGCCCAAAATCCTTCCAATGGAGAAGTAAAGAAATCACTACCAGATACAGAAGAAGTAGGGAAAACACTATTGGACTTCATCGGTTGGTCAGCGGACCAAGAAGATAACAACACAAAGAAAGATTTGAAGGAGGACTCAACTAAAGATGTTGATTCAAAGTTACTATGCAAACCTCATAACATAGTCACCAACAAGAGATTTTCTTACCTAGAGAACTTAGGTATGTGTAGAAGTCCAACAGCCCGTCACTAACTGATGGCAGTGCAGAATATTAATTAACTCATTGAAGTGTGAGAGCTCAGCCTCAAATGTACATGTTGAGATGGATCGCAACCATCTAGGATTTAACTAAGCCATTCCTTTTTGTACGTAGGGAAAGTTAGTAGACCTACTGGGTCTGTGGCACTTCATTTGAAGTGATTTACTCTGTACAAGACGTTACCTCGTTAAAGAACAACGTGAATTTTTGAACATTTTTCAAATAGTCCTATCCTAAGTTGTATGGCCTTTTGTCTTCAGATTTATTGGATAGAAAGTCTGTAATACAGATTTGGAGTCCATATAATTTACAGTATCATTTCCTTTATCGGTTCACCACTGAGCAAAGATGAATAAAATATCATACAAAGTCAGAAAACAATGCATCAAATTTGCTAGAAGGAATTACTTGTTGAAAAGAGGTCTGAGGAAGGCTTCAATTTATACTTACAAGCTGTGATAGATAGTACATCAATCACAAAATGAAGGTCAAGAAATTTGGATTAAAAAGCAATTAGATCTTGCCACGTGGCCCGAGCTTTGGTGGAAGTTGAGGCCCTTTCTTGATTGGTAGGATATCCCCTGATGCAGTTGAACTGAAGTAAGCGAGAGTTGAGCCACCTCCCAATATCAAGAACTTGAGCAACAGACCTCTCTTTGTGAAAGGAGCAGCAAATGTCTCAAAGAACTTGCTCTACAAAATACAAAGGCAATAGGAGGAACAGTTATAACTCAGTATGTGAGTTCACTTACATTACACAAGTACTATCCACAGGCATGGCAAGTAAATTAATATGGAGCATTTAATAGAGAATGTGGGATGTTTATTCGGAAACAACCTCTCTACTCCTCCGGATAGGGGTAAGGTCTGCCGTCTGCGTACACACTTCTCCCCAGGCCCAACTTGTGGAATTTCACTGCGTTATTGTTATTGTAATGTGGGATGTTTATAAGGGGAGAAAGGCAAATATATATAATACCTGAAGGGGGTTGTAGGGTGAAGGTGCATCTGATCCATACAAGTCCCACTGACCAGTGGTGTTGCCCAAATCCTCCAAGTCAAAATATACACTCTTGTCACCATATTTTGCTACCACAGCACCAGCCCTACACAAACTTCTAATCAGTCAAAAAAGAAACACACAAGAACATGCTAGTCCATCACTTCAATCTTTAATATATGTCTTTGATGCCTCAGATAAATAGAATAACATTTCCTAAGACCCTTAGCTGAACTGATTCAATCTTTAAACTTTGCCACTAACCAAATTAAGTCCGGGTTGACATACCAAATTAACAGAGGCGACTCCATGATTCAAAATCAATAGTTCAGAATGATTGTGATCTAATTATTATTATACAAATACATTTCAAAATTTTTTCTTCCCTTTTTTCATATGTACATATAGTTTGAGCTGACAGCAATGAATTCCATTGAACTCATAGAACTCGCCTTAAATCTGCCCCAAATTACAGGTGCAAAATGTGCAGGTCTTGAAAATGTTTTGGAGATGTGACACTTAAAAATCCGAGGTCCTCATTTGGAGGTCATTAATACTAGCTAGTACCTTACCTGGATTTAGAGGGCTTCAAATAGAGGCGAGATGATTTAACATTGAGTTTTGTCCCGGAAATAGAGCTTCCAGCTAGTCCCTTGATTGTGGTGGTTGGCTGCACTGCAGTAAGAGTTGCCAAAGACGCCATAGTTTTCTGTCCAAACTAGGAAAGCTGCAGTACCTTTTGTGGTTTGGCAAATGATCTGACTATGAATACGTTTGCTTTTGTTTAAATCTTTTTGCATGGATTTGAACATGACACGTTGGCAGCTGGACATATTTCTAGAGATATGGAGTGCCATTTGAATGGCGCCACGTCTACCGAGAATGGATAATTCGTAACCCTATCCCTTTAATTTAGGCTGTAAAATTTGTTAATAAGTACTACCTCTGTTCCAGTTTACGTGAACCTATTTTCTTTTTGGTCCGTTTCAAAAAAAATGAACCCTTTCTAAATTTGGTAACAATTTAGGTTAAACTTACAACTCTACCCTTAATGAGAAGCTTTTATAACCACACAAATACTCTGGGCCCCATTTAAACTTGTTTAGGACCACAAATTCCAAAAGTCTTCATTTTTTTCTTAAACTCTGTGCCCAGTCAAACAGGTTCACGTAAATTGGAACGGAGGGAGTAATTTTTTGGCCTTTTTTTTGTGGTCCAAAATAAGTGATTTTTTCAGATTTCAAGAATGAATTAATTATTTTTTTCTACATTGCCCTTAGAGTAAGTAGTGTTGGAGTATGTGTTAGAAGTATTTATGTGAAGAGATAGTAAAGGTTAATATGGTCAATTTGCTAATTAATGTTAAAAGGTGAATTTCTTAATCTGTATGAAAACAACTAAAAAATCACTTATTTTGGACCGGAAGGAGTACTATAAGTTTTCTTTGCAAGTCAACAACTCCATTTTAACATGTGCGTGAAATTTTCTGCAAGGTCAATATCCTCCTTGCTTTAAAAGGCGGGTTTAGAATTTTAATTTTATAAGCTCATGGTATTACAGTTCAGTCCATTGCACCTTTTAAAATTATTGGGTTCAAAACATACTTTATCTGTTTTAATTTATGTGAATCTATTTTCTTTTTTGTCCGTACTAAAAAGAATGATCCCTTCTCATTTTTTGAAACAATTTATCTTTATGCAATAATTTATAGTCACACAAAATATGTGCTTACACCACAAGTTCAAAAGTTTTCTCTTTTTTCTTAAATTTCGTATCCAATCAAATGAGTTCACATGAATTAAAACGGAGGGAGTAGCATTCATTTATGTTTTTTGTGATTTTTTTACATGTGAAGTTTTGTATTAAAATAAAGCTCTGTCATATACAATTCAACATTCTATTAAGTTTCTTTGGTGGTTGTTATCCTCATAGCATCACATCAATCCAGATATGTTAGACTGACAAGTTCTTATCTGAATGAGTGAAAAATTACTATAACCGGAGCTGGAATTACCAACCTATGAAATCCTTTTTTATCATCTATTAAGATGAAAAGGATTGAGGAGGAAATTAAACTATATTATCTGTATAATGAAATTAGCATTTCTGTGCCCACAAGAACAAACTACCCATATTCACATTGCAAACTTGTCTTGATCCTGCGCAATGTACATGATATGAGATTGTTAACTGATTCAACAGACTCTGTACAAAGTTTCGCAGCTGGAGATTTGCTAGTAAGAATTTGATATAGAACTGTTAGCAGGGATCCTCCTTCTGTACATTTTTCCTCTGGTCTAGAAGTGATAACTAAAGACCTTGACTCAAGACCATCAGGAAGAATAGAGAAACCTGAAGGTAACACTGCAACATTGTTAGAGTCGCAGCCTGTCATGACAGATTTCATGCGTGCAATGTCGATGGGGGCATAGACGACTGTGGATTCATAAGAATTCGTGCAGGTATCCTGGAGGATCCACATGTCTTCTTTCAATTTCATTGCCTGAGTACAATATGCAGTCTCAATCAGGAAAAGTGGTAGTAAGTTTTCTTCCTTCTTGTGGACATGAGAAAGGAAAGTGGAGAAGTGTAAACCAAATGTAGTTCTTCCCAGAGAGGAGACTCACTTGGATAGTAACTGCATTTCCTCTGTCCTGACTCGTTGCTAAATTTGCTATGGACTTCACTGGGCCTCCATTTGACATGATATTCCACTTTGGTAAAGACATTTGAAACCAAAATGTCAAAGTACTCCAGCAGAAGCTTCATTTCATGTACATACACGTAGATCTAATGAAATTAACTAACCTCATGTTGGCGGGTTTCATCTCTTAAGAAATCAAATAGTACATTGCGAGAAACAGGCAGCCAAACAGATGAAGTTGCACAGAGGATCAGACCAAGTGGTTCCAGAGGATCTGTTAAGTTCTTCCTAGACGCCACCTAATGTCATCTCCGGTTTTGCTATGAATCTTGTCCCATTTGTTATAGCTAGATACCAAATAGCACGGCAGAAACTCCAGGCCATTCTTTGAGCTAATTTGAGTATGCTTTTTCGCCCAGCAACTGTAGCAACACCTGGTCAATTTACAGAATGAAAGCGGATTGCTTTTTAGTTTCGTAGTTTTTGTTTATGATAGATGATATAATTATTTGGAGGGCTAGCCTCTCTACTCCCTCAGGTCTCAGGGTAGGGGTTGTTCGGAAAAATAATTTGATAACTCAAAAAAAAATATTCAAATTGATGTATATGTTCGTTCTTTTGATATTATGTTAATGAGCCTTTATTATAATAATTATATTAAATATATTTGCAACTGAAAATTAGTTTAATTTTGCATATAATAATTTTACTAACCTTAAATGGCTATCAAAAATACTTTGACTTTTGAGGATAAGAAATTTGCTGTTTGATAATGTTTTTAGCTTAATGCATTTAAAGTTATGTAACGTCTGTTTCTTTAACTTTGATAACGTTTTTGGCATTAACTTTAATATGCAATTTTATTCTTGAAAATCAGATATCCATATTAGTTTTGAACTATGTTTTATTCTTGAAAATCATATGTCCATATTAGTTTTGGACTATACATAAATATTCCTTTTTGATCATTTTGATGGGTGGAAAAAAGGGTGACAAAAAGTAAAAGCTTTCCTCGTTCTTTCTTTTGTGCTGAGTTTTCTTTTATTCAATCTTTGTTGTTTCTGCTCCTAGTTTATATTAGAAGAGCTTGTTGAATCCTGGGGGATACGCCTAATTTTATTCATTACGGTGTAGGCGAAATATCCTTAAGGACAGTGTCCTTGACACGCCTCAAGCTAATTCTTTTATTCTCCATAATCATCAAAATTTTCCAACAGGGGAAGGTTTGCATACACGCTACCTTCCCCAAACTCAACTAGTGAGTTTTACTGGGTCGTCGTTGTCGTTATTGTACTGTTTGGAGGGCAAATAATAAGGTTAGAAGCCGCTCACCAACTGGACGGCACCAACCCACTTATCGCCTTCACCATTGCGGATCACATCTAACATAGATGCCTTTGTGATCATGGTAGGGAACATTTCTTTCCACTGATTCTGTTGGGGAAAGTAGAATTAATAGAAAGAGTTTAATTTCTATATGCTGCCAAAAAACAAATAAGTTTTCCAATATTATTAGATCATTTCAAGGATAACCACAAGTGACTATTCGAAACATATACAATACTGACTA